CCTCATTTACCACACTTATCACTTGTATACTGCTACTTTTATAATTTACACTTCACTTTTGGTAAGTACACTTCTTATTTGTGATGACACCCAACCTGTTATGGCGGCCTACTTCCTCAGGCCTACTGCTGCCACCACCTCTGCTTATATATATTTATGTATATGTATGTATATATATATATATATATATATATACCCTTTCTGGCTAGCTTGTTCACGTTGGCTGTGTGCTACATCACAGTTTCTCGTTAGCTAACCTCTCTTAATTCTATTTGATATTTTCTCTTTAGTCACTCGCTTTGTACTTTGTATATTTGTAACAGTGTGGCAACAAGTGCCAACTAGGCCTCAACGAACTGGCACTTTGAAATTTTGTTGTATAATTTCAGGCTTTCTCTAGCCTTTACTTTATTTATTTTTGCTAATACATTGGTTATCACTTGTAGGGTTGTTCACTGATGTTCTCACTAACACTGGTTGCTTCTAGCTGCTAAAACATGCCCTAAAAGCACTAAGATTCCCGGAGCCTGGCGCTTATGACCCACTACACTGTGTGTGTGTGTGTGTGTGTGTGTGTGTGTGTGTGTGTGTGTGTGTGTGTGTGTGTGTGTGTGTGTGTGTGTGTGTGTGTGTGCATGTGTGTGTGTGTGTGTCTGTGTGTGTGTGTGTAATTGTGTGTGGAATTATGTGTGGCTTTATTATGTGTCTGAAAAGTAGGTGAATTGTGGTTGGAGTGTAATGTGGAGTCCCAGTTGTCTCTTGCCTGATCACAACTTCTTGTAACCTGACCCCCACCCTCCTGGGACTTGACCTGCACCTACTTACAATGTTTCCATTTATGCTTGTCCTGCCACCTAGCTTATAGTAACTTACTCGCCTTGTTCAATGGATTACCAATTGCTATTCCTTATTGAATACTTGAGTGCCTATTCTTTATCGTGGTATGAGAGTTGACCATTCACAATCAGCTTGGTGGTTAATTGGAACCTGAAACCCCACACCCATACAACCACTCATAGGTGAATACAGTACTTGCAATGCAGCTGTAGCAGCCAGTAGATTGTCCAGCTCGATGTGACGCCTGGCCAAGATCCACCTCAATTTTTTCTCGTTATGTAATGTACCCTATTCACTGTATTTCTCTCACTGGTCACACGATTGTTTCACTTTATTATACTTCTTGGGTGACACGTGGCAACGTCGCCTTCCCTGCCCGCTCTGACTGCGCACCACTTTTTACTTTCTAGATCTCTTACAAAATTGCGGCTCTCCCTACACTTATGTGGCTCAGGCAGATTGTAAATCACTTCAAGGAATTGTTCACTTCCCTAGCACACTTAGCTACCCTTCAGATCACTTGGGTAGCCCTCGAAAATACTTATATTCTCAGAGCACGGAAGGCATGACTCGCGCACGCACTGACGATACTGTACTCACCTAGTTGTACTCACCTAGTTGAGGTTGCGGGGGTCGAGTCCGAGCTCCTGGCCCCGCCTCTTCACTGATCGCTACTAGGTCACTCTCCCTGAGCCGTGAGCTTTATCATACCTCTGCTTAAAGCTATGTATGGATCCTGCCTCCACTACATCGCTTCCCAAACTATTCCACTTACTGACTACTCTGTGGCTGAAGAAATACTTCCTAACATCCCTGTGATTCATCTGTGTCTTCAGCTTCCAACTGTGTCCCCTTGTTACTGTGTCCAATCTCTGGATCATCCTGTCTTCGTCCACCTTGTCAATTCCTCTCAGTATTTTGTATGTCGTTATCATGTCCCCCCTATCTCTCCTGTCCTCCAGTGTCGTCAGGTTGATTTCCCTTAACCTCTCCTCGTAGGACATACCTCTTAGCTCTGGGACAAGTCTTGTTGCAAACCTTTGCACTTTCTCTAGTTTCTTCACGTGCTTGGCTAGGTGTGGGTTCCAAACTGGTGCCGCATACTCCAATATGGGCCTAACGTACACGGTGTACAGGGTCCTGAATGATTCCTTATTAAGATGTCGGAATGCTGTTCTGAGGTTTGCTAGGCGCCCATATGCTGCAGCAGTTATTTGGTTGATATGCGCTTCAGGAGATGTGCCTGGTGTTATACTCACCCCAAGATCTTTTTCCTTGAGTGAGGTTTGTAGTCTCTGACCCCCTAGACTGTACTCCGTTTGCGGCCTTCTTTGCCCTTCCCCAATCTTCATGACTTTGCACTTGGTGGGATTGAACTCCAGGAACCAATTGCTGGACCAGGTCTGCAGCCTGTCCTGTGTGTGTGTATGTGTGTGTGTGTTTGTATGTGTGTGTGTATGTGTGTGTGTGTGTGTGTGTGTGTGTGTGTATGTATGTGTGTGTGAGTGTGTGTGTGTCTGTGTGCGTGTGTGTGTGTGTGTGTGTGTAGTTAGTGTTTGCAGTGGAAATATTGACGGTAAAATCAGAGCTGAGACATTTTTGGTTAATGAACGGAAATTATCATCATAAGAGAGGTCAGACAATTGGCTAGAAATTAAGAATAAGTAAGTAGGTAAGTTTATTCAGGTATACACAAATACAGTTACATAGATTATCATACATAGCAGCATATGTGTAGAGAACCTTGGATAACCCAAAAAAGTCAGAGTAAATATTCCATTGGGGTTCTTTGAGAAGAAATGTTTTCAAAGACCAATTTAGGGAGAAGTGGATATTTATATGACAACATATTTATATAAATTTAGGTATTTTGGATACATTCCTAACAAATCTCATATATTAAGTTATTGTTTCCTTCTAACTTATATTTGTTTGTTCTCAGTTGTGAACGAGGTTACAGAGTGAGTTTGTTCCCACCCTGTCATCTTATTAAACATCTCTTTAGAAGCTGTGTTTGTGATGTCTACATCGCAGTTAGGGATGCAACCCTTACTAGCTAATAGTCTGGCTGCTACTCTTGTTACCAGAGTTGCATGGCCCAGTCTCCTGAAGCCTTTCTCTGTCCCTAACATACCCAGATAACCACAAACGGTGGGAGAAATCCAAGATACAGGTATTTCATTGTCTCCAGCGTAGGGTAAATTCTGGATGTCCAGGAACACCTCCTTTGTTACACTTGGATCAAGGTACACACCGACCGCTGGCACATTCTCCATCAGCCTCCACATGAGCTCCTCTGGTATATTCTTCAAGTAGGTGTTCTTCAGTAACATATGTTGCAGTCCTGCCTTTCCCAGTCGACAGACACGGAAACCTGACCCACATCTGCAGAAATGTAGACAGTGGTCAACGATTATGAAATATCTTGGTAATGACCTGTTCTGGGTGGAATGTTTAATATTATTTTCTAACGTAGTTTCCTCAAAAACTTGTAGATGAAACGTTACATTTTAGAAAAATTTAAATATCTACAAGTTACATTTCTCAAGAGAATATAAAATTCTAAATTCTTTTGGATAAATTTAATGATGAGTGCGAAGTGGTTGGTAAAAATGTAGGAGAAATGAAGAGGATACATGGGCAAATCTAGATTTTATTAATGACGAAATATTCAGCCTCTTCAGAAAGCTTTTGTATCTAAATACATGAGGGACTTTTATACTAGAGAGAGGAAAAAGTAGAAAGATTATTTTAAGGTTTTCAGATCATAAGCTATAATAGGTGTTCACTCTCTTAGTCATGAAGCAAAGGCTTATATACTCTAGCCATAGAAGAGATGCAATAATTAAAGACAACATAAGTGGGCAGGGGCCACTAATAGAAGTAGGTAAAGCCAATAGAGTCAGAATATCACAATAGTCCTGAAGACAATATCTTTTCTAACAAGATTCCAATAGGTAGATGTGATAGACAAGTCAGACAAGGCTTTTTTCTACTGGAGACAATAGTGGGAGAGGTAATTCAGAGGATTTTCAATCCGTTAGTTGTGATAGACGTTCAGTTTCTTAGCTTATAAGCAATCTCAAGCAGAGAGATGATGGAGAAGAGGTTAGCTAGTTATAAACATCATAGATGGTTGTGAGTCACTACTGGAAGTTGGTCTTTGTCATTAGTAGACCAGAGGTTTGCATTAAAATTTTAGAATAAATCATCAATATTTTAGAATATATCATCAATATGCTGCCTTGTTATATAAATATCATTACAATAAGGGTAAACAGTACCAACTAGTTGATGAATTTGACACATGTGCGACACCTGTTTATCTCAGTTGACTAGGAGTGGCCTACGTCTCACCTCTTGGCGCTATAAAAAGCTCCATGCTGTCACTTCATCTCCATATTGTTTCATACTATGGAACAATGCTCTTCTCCAGACTGAGGGACTGACCACCTCAAAACTTTAAGGGTGATGGACTGATTACATCGTCTTCAAGTATCTTCTGCTTCTATCAACTTTTCTGTACTTGACTAAAGAAGCCTACTGTGTAGGCGAAACGTTTCATAATAAAGATACCTAACTGTTGCATATGTGTCTTACCTAACAACCTGTCGGTATTTTATACCATTTTAATGTTCAATCTGTCAGACACTGCAACACAAGGGTATCTTGGTACAGACCTGCAATCAACTTAGACAACTTCCACTAGTGAGAGCGGCTGGATTTGAGAGGGACCTGACCTCTCAGCATCTGAGTTCTTACCTCTCCTAGTGGCCTACGTCTCACCTCTTGGCGCTATAAAAAGCTCCATGCTGTCACTTCATCTCCATATTGTTTCATACTATGGAAAAATGCTCTTCTCCAGACTGAGGGACTGACCACCTCAAAACTTTAAGGGTGATGGACTGATTACATCGTCTTCAAGTATCTTCTGCTTCTATCAACTTTTCTGTACTTGACTGAAGAAGCCTACTGTGTAGGCGAAACGTTTCATAATAAAGATACCTAACTGTTGCATATGTGTCTTACCTAATAACCTGTCGGTATTTTATACCATTTTAATGTTCAATCTGTCAGACACTGCAACACAAGGGTATCTTGGTACAGGCCTGCAATCAACTTCGACAACTTCCACTAGTGAGAGCGGCTGGATTTGAGAGGGACCTGACCTCTCAGCATCTGAGTTCTTACCTCTCCTAGTGGCCTACGTCTCACCTCTTGGCGCTATAAAAAGCTCCATCCTGTCACTTCATCTCCATATTGTTTCATACTATGGAACAATGCTCTTCTCCAGACTGAGGGACTGACCACCTCAAAACTTTAAGGGTGATGGACTGATTACATCGTCTTCAAGTATCTTCTGCTTCTATCAACTTTTCTGTACTTGACTGAAGAAGCCTACTGTGTAGGCGAAACGTTTCATAATAAAGATACCTAACTGTTGCATATGTGTCTTACCTAACAACCTGTCGGTATTTTATACCATTTTAATGTTCAATCTGTCAGACACTGCAACACAAGGGTATCTTGGTACAGACCTGCAATCAACTTCGACAACTTCCACTAGTGAGAGCGGCTGGATTTGAGAGGGACCTGACCTCTCAGCATCTGAGTTCTTACCTCTCCTAGTGGCCTACGTCTCACCTCTTGGCGCTATAAAAAGCTCCATCTGTCACTTCATCTCCATATTGTTTCATACTATGGAAACAATGCTCTTCTCCAGACTGAGGGACTGACCACCTCAAAACTTTAAGGGTGATGGACTGATTACATCGTCTTCAAGTATCTTCTGCTTCTATCAACTTTTCTGTACTTGACTGAAGAAGCCTACTGTGTAGGCGAAACGTTTCATAATAAAGATACCTAACTGTTGCATATGTGTCTTACCTAACAACCTGTCGGTATTTTATACCATTTTAATGTTCAATCTGTCAGACACTGCAACACAAGGGTATCTTGGTACAGACTGCAATCAACTTAGACAACTTCCACTAGTGAGAGCGGCTGGATTTGAGAGGGACCTGACCTCTCAGCATCTGAGTTCTTACCTCTCTAGTGGCCTACGTCTCACCTCTTGGCGCTATAAAAAGCTCCATCTGTCACTTCATCTCCATATTGTTTCATACTATGGAAATACTATGGAACAATCCCTCTTTCCCAGACTGGGGACTACCACCTAAAAATTTTAAAGGGGTGATGGACTGATTACATCGTCTTCAAGTATTTCTGTTTCCCTAAAAACTTTTCTTTTACTTAAAGAAAAACCCAAACTGGGGGCAAAAAACGTTTCATAAAAAAATTTACCAAAAACTTTTGGCATATGTGCCCTTACCTAACAACCTGTCGGTTTTTTTAAAAACCTTTTTAAAATGTTAAATTTCATAAAAGGGGGTTAGGTGCAATTTGTGAAATTAAGTAAATGCTAACAAGTATGGTTAGAAAGTTCAAAAAAATTCCGTGGTTTTTATGTTTCAGAAGAGTTTTGGGAAACCCTTTAAAATTTTTACTGCAACATGAAAATTTGGGATGATTTAAACTCATGTGAAAACACTTTGCTTTTACTGACATTATATTTTACCTTCATACCCGGGCCTTTTTAAAATTAAATTACAAAAGCAACAAGGGGATCCCATCACTTGTGATGATTTTTAAACAACTCCCTGCAACTCGTTTGATGTTCAAATGCAAAAACTCCCATCTTCAGGGTTTTTTTATGCGGGAAATAAATGCCAAGGGGAAATGATCACCTTTTTAATGGGGGCAAATTTTACTTTATCCCTTTTTAAATTGAGGCCAGGAAGTTAATCCCTCAAATTACCCCCCAAATCTCTTTCACTGTTCCCGATAAAAGTTGCTACTGAAAAAAAAAGTGCTGTAGGGATAAAAAGGGTGTGGAATGAAGATGCTCTTTGTGTTTGTACATGTGCCCATTTTGTAAACCCTTTTAAATTTAAAAAGGGAATTTATTTAAGTAATAAAAGGAAAAGGGACCTTGGGGAAAGGGTTGTAAAAGGGGAAGGCGTAAAAATGATAAGGGCGACGACTACCTCAACACATAAAGTAAGAATACTCTCATTTTTTGGAAATTTGCAGATTAAATATATACAGAGACAGTTTTCTCAAAAAAACTGGTGCGGGGGGCGCCCGGGTTTTCCCCTGCAGTTGGGGGTTTTTTTAGTGATTAATAACTTCATAAACCATTTCCGGGGGGGGATAAACCCGAAATTAGAGAGTCCCCAAATCCAGACCGCCCCGGTGTTACCCCATGGACCGGCTGCCACTTTAAAGATTCATCCTTTTTGGGATTTTTCTCCCAAAAAAGGGAAAGGTTTAGCATGGGCCCACCACTGTACCAAAAATGAAAATTTTTTTCCCAAAAAAGGGAATCCCCCAAATTTACAAGGTCGTGACGAATTTCTACCTCATCCCCTTAAAACCCAATCAACATGAAAAAACGAAATTGTAATAAAAAAACCAACCACGGGGACTTGAGCTGGGTTCATCATGGCCGACTAGCTGGAAAATTCGCCTGTAAAAACTGCTTTTTTGGTCACGTGGTGCCTGGGGCTCCCCCCTTCCTATGGTGTAGAAATTTTTCCCTTTTGGGATGAATCTTATTAGGCCCTAACTGACCCCGTGGCTAACACGAGGGTTTTTTTTGCAACGTGTCATCACGATTTCGTGAGTCAAGTTAAAAAAACACCATTTTCAGGTAAGAAGGTTTTTTCACATTGCAGGAATTTGGATAAATACTAGGAGGTTTTTTTACCTAAACACAGGATAGCTACTGAATAAATTAGGCCAAAATAAGAAGTCCCAAAGTTCTTTTATTTGCCTAGAAGAGGAATTTGTGTAGATTGTTGGCTAGCAAAATACTGGGAAAAAAAAAAAAAAACCATTAGCAACTTTTTTAAAATTTTTGTAAAAAAACATACATGTATGCAAGGGATGCAAAATTTTTTTCTGGAGAAAAGGGGACAGCATTAGTTCATCTGAACAACTTTGCTTTAAAATGGTGGAAGATAAATGTATGAAATGTGTAGGTGAGAAAAAAAAGGGGAGAGAAGTTCCCAACAGTGATAGGACCCAAAAAATACCAGGAAAAATTAGAGAAAATTTTTAAAAAACAGAAAACTCTTAAAAAGTTTGGAATATAAATAATGATTGAGTACATCAAAAAAAAAGACAAGAGAGGTTTAAAGGGGGAGCTTCATAGCATCTGGTATATAAAGTGCAGAAGAGAAAGAAATATATTAAACTAAGACTATTAAAATGTTTTTGGAAAAAAAAAGATGTAGTTGTAAAAACTGACGTTTTTTGTTTTAGATGAAGAAATTTTTGACATTTCCCTTTTGAATACCACATTTTTTTTAAAACATGGGCCA